TGTTCCTGCCAGAGCCAGTTTCCTGAAATCAGCCTCTCATTGCCAGACCACGCCCCTGCTCAGAAAATCCACAATGAATCCCTAGATTGCCTTCTCAGGCAATTCAAAACTTTTCGGCCTTGACTTTTCCAAAATGAATTCGTTACTTTATTCATTCAATAAACTTTTAGAGTATTAGCTTGATTTTTATTGCAAAATTAATTTTCTATAAACTGAGGAGATTTGAAAACAACTGAAACCGAATGCTATGAAGTTCTAATGAGCAAATCTGGCTCCAAAGAAGAGATAAAAGGCAGCACTTTCCTCCCTTCTTTGCAGAAGCAAGGGGCTACAGGTGTGGAATATTGCAGATAAGGTCATTATGGGCTATGTTGGTTAGTTTTGTTGAACCGTTTTTTCTTTTTCCTTATCATTCTTTGTTATGAAGAACAGCTCTCTTGAGGTGAGGGAGAGACACAGAGCAGCCACTATGCCCTTCTCTGCCCTTCCCCTTCCCAGGGAACTTAGCATCTAGGAGGAGAATGAGATCAAAAGACACATAACTCTAACATCTAATCCTATGCATTCTGCCCATCTTTAAGGTTCTCTGTCCTGCCCCCTGGCACCACGTGAGCTGCTTCAGTAGCAAGCACCACTGTCCCTTCCCCCGCCCTTCCACCCCATCCCTTCATGGCTGTGTTTGTTCTTCGGGCGGGTACCACTGCCCAGACCTCAAGTGCCCTCCTCACTGCTCGATCCATTCTCTGGAGTTCAGCCCAAGCGGAATAGAATGCCATCTCTTTGAGGGCAGGAACATTCATTTTTTGGTATTTCCATTTCCAGTGCCTTGCATGTAGCAGGCACGTAATACATGCTTGCTCACTCGAAGCCCTGCCGGACTGTTCCCTCATTCCGTGCTAATCTCGATTTTCTCTGAACTCCAAATGCAGCAGGATTGCAGAACCGCGCATCTTAACGACCCGGGGGAATATTTTGCTCGGTGGAACAAAGATGGATGAATTGTTCCCATGACTAGAGCGCTCCATGTTACAAGCTGGCAAGCTCTCTGCTGGATGGTTATCCTCCTCTAACTGCAATTCTACATAAATGAATACAATGGCG